AATCATTTCTATCTATTTGAACTGAGTTGTGCAGCATCCCTAGGGTCAAGTAGACTTGAAGTGCAAAGCTACCAAAGTCATAGATACTAGCCCATCTGCAGCCAAGCCACAGCTCTGGGCAAGGGCCTGATTCCGTGTCCTCTTGGTTCTGCACCTAATGCTGGTGCCTTTATTTTGACACCTTTGACTGTCAGACTGGACAGTGACCCAAGATTTGAAAGGTATTGGATAGTTTGGTGATAGTGTTCCTTTCAGCAGTTTATAATCTGGTTAGAGAGACCTAAGTGTGAGCAAGAAATTGATAGAATACAAGGTTCTTTGCAGTTTGGGGTGAGCTAAGTATACAGTGTTCTGGGGACTGAGATGAGAACGATAGCTTGCTGGTTTAAAATACAGTTAGGTTGGGCAGCAGATGGCGTGGTGAATATGGTGCTGGACTCCCACATGGCTGGCCACATTTGATTCCTAGACCTGGTGGCTTAGAAATCATGCCGGGCACATGTGTGTGCATGCCCAAAGACCCAAGAAGAGAGGGAATTGTGGCATGGCTTTCCCCCTGGGGGTGATTTTTCATGTCCTTCTCACCATCTTTCTCTGGCAAGTGCATGCACCCTATGGCAAAACTTAAAACACACACACAATATATATATATATATATATATATATATATATATATACACACACACATATATATATGTATATAGTTAGGTTAGGGTCAGCCTTGTAGCCTAGTTGTTAAAGGAATCAGATCCAACATGGCCAACCATGGTTCAAATCCCAGCCCCTGTGACTTCAAAAGTACCAGGTACTTGGGGCCCAGGAGGTGGTGTGGAGGTTAAGGTGTCTGGCTCCCATATGACTGCAGGGTTTGAGTCCTGGACTTGCTGGCTTGAAAATCACACAGGGCACATGTGCGTATGTACCCAAGGGATTCCAGTGTGGCCATGCCCCCCCTCCCCGGGGATGATTTCTCACTCCCCTCAACCCTGTCTCTGGCAAGTGCACACACCCTATAGCTAAACTTAAAAACAAAAAGCAAAACACAACAAAAACCCTAGGGGCTTGTGTGTCATCCTCCAAATCCAAACAGGATGGAAAAATGTAGAAGGAATTTTGGCATGACCATACCTCATTGGTGGGCTCTCCCTCTCTGGCTAGCACAAGTGTCCTCTGGCAATTTTTTAAAGAAATTTTTGCTATAGGGTGTCTGCACTGGCTGGATAGACAGGGAAAGACAGAAAGCGAGAAATCAACCCCCAGGTGGGATGGTGGGATGGCCACTGCAATTTCTTCCTTTCTTTTTTCTTTCTTTCTTTCTTTTTTTTTTTTTTTTTTTTTTTTGAGAGAAATTTTTGTTATCGGGCACATGCACTTGGACGAGAGACAGAGACAGAAAGCAGGAAAACACCCTCCACGCCATAATTCCTTCTCCTCCAGCCTCCTCTCGGGGTTTTGGGCATGCATACACGTGTGCCGAGCATGAGTTTTAAGCCTCTAGGTCCTGGACTTGAACTGTGGCTGACTACATGGAAGTTCAGTGACATAATTGTACCATCTGCTGGTCCCCATTGCTGCAATTTCTTGTCCTCTATTCTCCCCTCAGGATTTTGGGCATGCACACACATGCACCTGGTGTGTTTCAAGCTGTTGGATCCAGGACTTGAACTTCAGTTGACCACGTGAGAGTCCAGCTCCTTAACCACTATGCTACCTGCTGGCCCCTAAAAATTTTTAAATGAGTGTCAGCATCTCTCTGATGCCATTTTGATTCAGGTGGACTGTTCGAATTACCATCCTCACAAATACACCCCTACTGGCAAATCACAAATTCTGCTTATACCGTCATCAGCATTCTTTCACCTGGAGTCTTTGCAGGCATGGGTCTCGATGGGATCCTGCTTCCTGGACCGGTAGAATTTCAGGGAACACTACCTAAGGCAGCTGGCTTTTACTATCCTACCTAACCTGATTAGGCTCATGAGTTCTTTTATTTATATCCCTGATGGTCTGTTCTGCCTCATCAACATCGCTGGCTACCCAATTAAGATTGGTTCAGCGGGGCACAGCAGATGGCGTGGTGGTTAAGGTGCTGGACTCCCACATGGTAGACTGCAGTTCAATTCCTGGACCTGGAGGCTTGAAAATTACAACATGTGCATGTGCGTCCAAATCCCAGGAGGAGAAGGGATTTTTGTGTGGCCATCCGCACTGGGTGGTAATTGCTCACCTTCCCTCTCACTGTCTCTTCCTCTTCTCTGGAAAATGTACATGCCTATATGAAAAAAAAAAAAAAGAAGATTGGCTTGGGGAACCAGCAGGTGGCGTGGTTTTTATGGTGCTGGACACTTCCACATGGCTGACCATGGTTTGCGTCCCAGACCTGGTGGCCGTTTTCTCCCTTACCCTCTCTCTCTGTGTCTCTCTACAGTCAAATTAAAATAAATAAATAAATAAATAAATAAATAAAAATAATTCTTAAAAAAAATTTTTTTTTGAGAGGCTTTTTTTTTTCACTATAGGGCGCATGCGCTCGCCAGACAGACAGAGAGAGACATAGAGACAGAAAGCGAGACATCACCCCCTAGGGGGGAATGGTCACGCCGCAATCCCTTCTCCTCCATTCTCCTCTCGGGATCTTGGGCACGCACGCACACGCGCCCGGCGTGAGTTTTAAGCCACCGGGTCCGGGACACGAACCGCGGTTGACTACGTGGGAGTCCAGTGATATAGCCTTTATGCTAACTGCTGGTTCCCCCCCCAAAAAAAAAATTTAAAAAAAAGATTGGTTTAGTGTTCATCTCTCCAGGCCATGGGCCTTATACAAGTTCTCACTTCCACTGCCTCCTGCTGTCTCTCTTGAAAGGCAAGAGAAGAATGTGGCATCATCTGGAAAGTGTGTCTCATCTAAAGGTCTGGTCACCACATGTGAGTTACTGAAACTGCTTCTCTTTTTTTTAAAGAATGATTTAACTTTATTTATATAGTTTAATTTGACCGGAGAGGGACAGAGCTAGAGTGAGAAAGAAAGAGAAGGAAAGTGAGAAAGCAAGTCCCCATGTCCAGGACTCGACCATGTGGGAGTCCAGTGTCTTTAACCACTATGCTACTTGCTAGACCCTGAAACTGCTCTTGTCACTAAACAATTGTACAGTTGCAGGAACTGACATTAACCTGCAATGTCCCTGGTCACCTCATCAACGAGGACTTCCACCTCAACTCCTCCAGTTCCTACCTTCCCCCACTTAAGAAGGAGTGTTCTCAGATGCCAGAGAAAATCTTGTCCTGAGCTCCTCTAGCTCCTTGCCTGTCTTCTGGTACTCTAGACATTGACGTGGATTGGC